GGAATTAGCACTTGGCACACAACATTGATTGCTTTCCAAAGCAAGAAGGATTAACTGTGGGAAAAAAAAAAAAAAAAAAACACGGAACCAGCACTTGCCACACAACATTGATTGCTTCCCAAAATGGGAAGGATTAACTGTATGCACAGCATACAACCAACATATAAAAAAATAGAGAGATGGCTATCGTGGGACGCATTTTTATTGCTACGTTAAAAAAAAAAAAAAAAACGCAAAAGAACCAAGAGGAGGAGTTTGCATGGTAGGGCCGATGCTGCAGTCACGTCAGAAGGGGCGCTTATCACGGCTTCGACAGAGTTTCCGCGATCTTCATGAGTGCGTCGCATAGGAGCTTCTGTCCTACATCCGCCAGTTGCAGTTGCCACTCATGAATGTAAAGCTCACGTTCCAGCACGGTGCACTGCCTGTCCATGAATTCGCATTGCCGCTTGCTTGCCCGATCCACGGACTCTGCCACAACGGTAGAATATTCCTTCATCACCTCCCCCACCACCGCAAACGTTTGTTCCCGCGCCGTTTTTTTCTTGCCATGGCGTGACCCCTGTGATGCTGAAGCACAATCTGTGCTCATGTCTTCTCCCTCCTCTCCTTCGCTGTCCGCATTGTCAGCAGGTCGTTTGCCAGTGTCAGTGAAACGGTTGGTGGGGTTGATCGTCTGGTTGTCGTCCTGCCCAGCGCGAATGGCATCCCATAACTCACGATCTAGGAAGAACTTGAAACCCTTCAAGTTGTCTCTCCTTTCCTTAGCTGTCAACTTTCAGAACGTCGCCATACCCGACCGGTCTTCATGGTTGTCTAAAATATGTTTGTACCACATAAAGATATTTTCCCAGCGTTTACGACATTTTAACGCTGCCCGTATCACCCCTTGCGCCTCCATACGCTTTTCAATGTCCAGCCACTTCCAATCCTTTGATTTCATCCTCCCGAAGTTCGATGGGAGACCTGCAAAATATTGCTCCTGATCCCGCTTGCAGTGGATCAAAATGAGAGATTGACGGTTGTCCCATACACGCCGTCCGCTGTCCGCCTTCGCAGCGTCTGCATCACCTTTCTCTCTTGCAACCCCCGTGCTCTCCTGCCCAACATCGTCAGGACGCCCAGTGGCGGACTGCGCCGGTGCCGCGGGGCTTGCAGGTGGTTCGCCATCCCCTTCCATATCGTCTGGGATAACATAATTGCCCCTTCCCATTGCAGGCCCCTCCGATCCACGGCCAGACTCTATAGGAGTTGTGCTGGGCTGTCGTGGCACATCGTTGTTGAACACTGATGCTGACCCGCTCCCAAGAGACCGGAAAGCTGAACTCCCGACACAGATGCGCACCCCTCCTCCATGCAAGCCATCCCCTCCTGCGGTAGACTCTGTGGAACGCGCCGGAGTGTTGACGTTCGCACGCGTAGCCCTTGGTGTAACAAGTGATAGGGAGGTGAAGCACTCCGTCGGCTCTGTTGCAGACGTTGAGAGGCGGACGCCAGTGTCCGACTCCAATTGCGATGAAAAGGAGCCGGTCGTGGACAGATCCACCATGTCGTCATCTGGAAGTGGTTGAAGATACGATGGGAGATGCACGTATGCAACCGGGGTCAGTCGTTGCTGGCCCATTGGCATGTTCCACCCGCGGTTGGCATCTGAACCACACGGGGTCAGCCTCACCATGCTGCCTTTCTTACCCCTGACCTTTACTGCCTTCCTCTTCGATGCGCTCCTTAGAGCTCCTTCCTTCACCCCACGCCTCCACACCCTGCCCAGGAACTGTAAGAAACGGAGCAGAACGATCACTAGCAGCACAAGAGACATAACTGCAATGAGGACCGCAGTACGCACAACACTGGCCATGCGTGCCGTGTACAAGTGATGTCGGAGCGGAAGTGCCTGCCCTGGAGGAGGTGCCTGTTCTGGGGGTGTGCGTGCGGCTAACGAAGAGTTGGAGTAGCGTTTGACACGTGCATGGCGCTATCGAGGAGCTGGAGGACGTGCCTGCGCCGGGGGACGTACGTGCTTGCGTTCTTCCCCGGAATACAACGTACGGTCATTCTAGCTGTATCTAGACTGGAAGATGCGTCAAATATAGCTATAATGACCATACATTGTATTCGGGGGAAGAAGGTGGTGGTCTGGGTGCATGCCTGCACCGGCTGCCTCGTTGGCCGCGCGACAGGGAACCCAACGGCTACCCTGCAGGGCGCGCGGTACGTGGGGTGGGCCGCGCTGTAGCCAACCCAACGGCTACTTCGCGTGGTTCACCACCCAGGTCCGTTTGTGGACCAGGACAACCGCCATTGGAAAAAAAAAAAAAAAAAAAAAAACCGGATGGGGGTACTGCACGGAACTTCTAACTCCCTGGCGGCGCATGTTGGCACCATTTTCAAGGAACGTCGAGGAAAAACCAGTCGGCCGTGGGAGGTGACTTGAAATTTGCCTGCGGACCCTACGGCCTCCCTTCAGTTTCGGAGCGGGAGTTTAACCAGGCAGGAACCCTAATCACTTTACAATAGTCACGGTGATTAGCAAATCTCAAGGGCCTAGTGGAACGGCGCCTCCCTTGAGATTTTTCCAAGTCGAGGGTAGTGGAACGAGGCCCATTGTCCTGGCTGAACCTCTAGCGAGCTGTTCCCGCTCATTTCCATTTTTCTAATGCCATTGGGGCTCTTTCCACACCACTCGAAACTCAAGGGTTTCTTGCCCAACACCGTTCCAAGGTGCCCTTGAGTTTAGTTAATCACGGGCGGGATGTCATTAGTTTTTTTGAGAAATCACCTCGTTTGCCTGGGCCTTTGGGCCTCGTTCCACACCACTTCACTCCACTTCAATTTCAAGTGCGGCACTTGAGCCGCGTCACAGGGTAATCGTCATTAAAAAACACTTGAGCCTGGCACCGTTCGACGTTACACTCCACTCCACACTCGAAACAGGAGCGGGAAAGTGGCAGAGGCGGTTGGCGTGAGGGAAGGGGGGATGTAAAACAAAAAAAAGAAAAAATGGGGGGAACGTGCAGCACCTACAACCGGCTCCTGGCTCCGTTTTGAAGTGCGGCTCAAGTGTGGCCGGAGAGGTGACTTGAAAAATTCACCCATTCGCCTGGCCACACTTGAGCTGCACTAGACTTTTTTGGCGGGCGTCGGGAGAGGAACCCTAATCACGATTACGGAAAGTGAAAGTCAAGTGCAGTGCAGTGTGGAACGAAGAATTTCTCAAGTATTTCCAAAGTGGAGTGGAACGAGGCCCTTTGAGAAATCACCTCGTTTGCCTGCGTCGCACTTGAGCCACCCTTGAGAGTTTCAAGCCCGTTTGCTAATCCCAAATACCCAATGACTTCCCGCCAGTGATTAGCGAAACTCAAGGGCACCCTGGAACCGTGTTGGGCAAGAACCCGTTGAGTTTCGAGTGGTGTAGAAGGAGCCCCATTCTCCTGGCTGAACCTCCAGCCAGCTGTTCCCGCTCATTTCAAGGCCGGACGAAATCAAGGGCGGAATCGAGGGTTTCGTGGCACGAACGAAACGTGACTCCCGTAAATTTTTAATCACTTTTGCAACTCGAGTGCGCACTCGAGTTTCCAGTGCAGTGGTGTGGAACGAGGTCCATACGGCACAACGCCGCTCCCATCCAACCGAAGCGGGCCTCGTTTTTCCCGCTGCATCGCCCTCTCACCACTTTTCCCCTGCCCCTTCCTCCCAAAAAGGAAACCGCCGACGTCTGCAAGGCGCCTACCGTTCCGTTCCCTGCACCGGCCCTACGACATCTAAGCACCCCCGCGACCCCGGGGCTAGGTCCCACTTGCACTAATAAGAGATAGAGACCGTAGATAGCCGAGGTAAACAAACAGAAGTTGAGAGAAGAATATAGACAGTTGTGATCACCCCCCCCCCAAAAAAAAAAAAAAGATCAACCGCCGAAATCTCCTAATCCGTGCGAGTGGGACCTTGCCCCGGTTGCCGTCATCTGCCTTTCCCGAAACAGCAATGTGCAGTGCTCCACGAAAACGCTGCCTATGTAGCCCCCGGATATTTTGTAGCCGCAGCCTTTTGCTGCATGCTTGGGTTGCTGAGGGTAATGCTTAGTCAAGCGACGAGCAACCCGCGCCGACTGAGGGAGGCGGGCCAGGTGTACGAGCAAGGGCTCGGTTATGTTCCTTCTCTTTCCTCTCAGCAGGGCGAGTGACGTGGCCTATCATCCGGGAGGTAAGCCTTTCCATTCCCAACCTCTTGACCTCTGCTCTCCTCTTCTCCTTCTGCCGTCTGTTTGCTCTGTTGTTTTATCAATCATCCGTTCTGTCTACCGTATCTACTGCCAGTGTGGTGATTTCAAGAGAACGAATGGAAGCCATCCCCAGGACGACAGGACTGTGATGGGTCAACCCTTCCACTGCTTGACTATTCTTCCCTGAGAGGCTGGTCCGGTGATCTTGGTCAAAACGATGGAGAAGAAGAGCTGAAGGAGGGCTATGAAGAAGAAGAGCTGAGCGAGGTCGATGGAGAAGAAGAGATGAGGGAGGACGATGGCGAAGAAGAGCTGAGGGAGGGCGATGACGGAGAAGAGGTGAGGGGTGGTAATCGTAATGTTGACGGATTGTGGAGAGTAATGTCGGCGTAAGACGGAGTGTACGCTGGGAAGATTTCGACGGCAGCGAAATGGTACGAGAATAAGTCCATAACATTACAGTAGGATGAAATAAAATGGAGCAACAGCAGCATCAGCAGCAGCAGGAGGAGGAGGAGGAGGAGAAGGAGGAGGAGGAGGAGGAGGAGGAGGAGAAAGAAAACTATAGCTCTAGAGGGAGAAGAAGAGGATTTATCGAGAGAAGAGGAGGAGAGGAGGAGGAGAGGAGGAGGAGAGGAGGAGGATGATGATGAGGAGGAGGATGGGGAGAAGGAGGAAGAGGACTAGGGGGAGAAGAAGACGTGAAACAGCGGAGGAGGAGGAGGAGGAGGAAGAAGAGCAAAGGGAGGAGAAGAGGTAGAACAGGGAAGGATGCGGCGGGTAGTTATGGGTTCTATTAGTCGCTAATTTTGGT